ACATCATCATCGTCATCATCATCAACATCAGCAGCATCATCACAATCATCATCACCATGGGCAGCATCATCATCAGCATCATCAGCAGCATCATCAGCATCAGCATCGTCATCATCATCATAATCATGATCAGCATCGTCATCATCATCAGCAGCAGCATCGTCGCCATAATCGGAATCATCATCATCAGCAGCAGCAGCAGCGGCATCAGCATCAGCATCAGCATCGTCATCATCGTCATCATAAGAAGCAGTAGTATCGTCATCAGGATCATCATCATCTCAGCGTCATCATCATCATCAGCATCAGCATCGTCATCGACATCGTCATCATCATCATCATCATCATCAGCAGCATCATCTTCACCACCATCAACACAATCGTCATCAGCATCAGCATCATCATCTCAGCATCATCATCAGCACAATCGTCAGCAACATCATCAGCAGCATCACAAGCATCGACGCCGTCGTCAGCATCATCATGGTCAGCATCCTCCTCATCATCATCATCATCACCATCATCACCATCATCATCGTCAACATCAACATCACCATTACCATCATCATCATCATCATCATCATCATCATCATCATCATCATCATCAACAGCAACAGCATCATCCGAATCGTCACCATCACCACAAGCATCGTCGTCATCATCATCCTCAGCGGCGTCAGCATCATCAGCATGACTACCAGCTTCATCTCCATCGTCATCGTCAGCGTCGCCATCATAACTAGCATCAGTCATCATCATCAACATCATCATCACCACCATCAGCATCATGGTCATCGCCATCGCCATCCCAATCGTCATCGTCGTCGCCATCGTCATCAGCATCGTCATCATCATCAGCAGCAGCATCATCAGCGTCAGCATCAGCGTCAGCAGCATCATCATAAGCATCAACATCAACATCATCATAGGCATCATCAGCACCATCAGCATCATCAGCGTCATCATCTGTACAATGAGTACCATTAGCATCAGCAGTATCCGCATGAGCATCATCTTCAGCAGCAACAGCAGGGTCAGCATCATCATCATCAGCATCATCAGCATTATCATCAGCAGCATGTTCATCGATCCTGCTCGAACCTCCTCGATATCCTCGATCCTCCTCGACCCTCCCCGACACTCCTCGACCACCCTCGACGCTCATCAATACTCCTCGCTCCTCCTCGATGCCCCTCGATCCTACTCGATCCTTCTCGATCCCCCTCGATGCTCGTCGGGCATCAGCTATCCTCATCAGTCCTCGCCGCTCCTCCTCCTCCCCATCATCGTACCAAGAAAAAGCAGGAAGGGGCCAGAGCAAGAGACGCAGAGAAGACAGCAGTACCAGCAGGAAAATTGGATGCTCGTTCTAGGGACCATCCTGGAGCCACTCGCTCCACTCGTGCGTCGAAGCTGCGTCGAACGTCAGTCGAGTTGGGTCGACCCTGAGTCGAACCTGAGTCGAACCTGAGTCGAACTTGAGTCGAACTTAAGTCGAACTTGAGTCGAACTGGGGTCGAACAGATCCGTTAGGTGGGCTCCAGGAAGGTCCCCGAAACGAGCATCGAAGGAAAAGGGATCGGGCCCAGCACCTGCAAGGTTGATAAACTCGAGCGAGTTCTGCTCCGTGGAGACCTGCCACCGGCCGTGGCCGCCAGCATCATCGCCAGCATCAGCACCATCATCATCACTATCATCGTGGTCGTCTCCGCACACATCCCCCGTCCCATCCTCCTCCTTCCCCTTCCCCCTCCCCCTGCTCCCCCTCCTCCATCCCCCTCCTGCTACTCCTCCTCCTCGTACTCCTCCTCCTCCTCCTCCTCCTCCTCATCATCCTCATCATCCTCATCATCATCATCATCATCATCATCATCATCATCATCATCATCATCATCATCATCATCATCATCATCATCATCATCATCATCATCATCATCATCATTATCATCATCATCATCATCATCATCATCACAATCAGCAGCAGCATCATCAACATAAGCATCATCATCAGCAGCAGCATCATCATCCTCATCATCCTCATCATCAGCAGCATAATCGTCATCATCATCAGCAGTATCATCATCAGCATAAGCATCATCATCATCAGTATCATCATCAGCAGCAGCATCCTGTCCCCTCTTCTCTTCGTGGCGCTCCCGCCCTCGACCCCCGCCCTCCTCTCACCCCGGGCAAGGGCCCCCGCAGGGGGAAAATTGTCCAAAGCCCTCGACGTGATTTTTGTCACAACGCGGGATGCCAGGGCCCCTTCGGCAGTCCCTCCTCTCGAAGAGGGGGGCTATGGGGGGAGGGGGGGCGGGGAAGGGAGGGAGGAGGAACGAGAAACCAGGAAGGAAGGAGGAAGGAGGCAGGCTGAACGAGGAGCAGGAAAGAGAGAGCGAGAAGGAAGAGGAGGGCGGCGGAGGAGGACAGACGACGACGGGGAGGCGCCGCCGTCCTGCTGGAGCGCGAACCCGTACAGCAGGCTGAAGAGCCGCACCAGCTGGGGCGCCGCGAGGTTTGGGGGGGAAAGTCCACCCCGATCTCAACCACCCCGACACGCGAAGTCGTTTCGTAAACGCGCCCAAAGAAGGAATCGAACAGGGCAGGGCTGTTCAATAAACGCCCAGGGCCGTTTAGTAAGCGCCAGTTGTCAGGTCCGGGTGTGTTTCCTCCCTTGCCCACTCCGGCCGCCTGAGGCCCCGCCTTCCTGTGCCCTGTCTCCCTAATTAAAGCTGCGCGTGGCCCGCCTAGCTTTTAGAGGAAGAGGTTCGCTCTCGCCCCGCAGATCAAAAAAACGGTGATTTTTCCTTCCTTGACTGATGGTGCGCGGGTCCCGCGGACTGGCGGGGGGGGGGGGGGCGCCCCACGCAGCTCCGCCGCGCCCGAAGTGCCCCGGGGCCGCACAGTCGGGGCGTCGGGCAGGGATGTTGGCCTCGCGGCCCCCCGGCCAGCGGCGCGTTCCCCCGGACGGAGGTGCGGAGAGGGGCGGGGAAGGAGCGAGGATCTGGCCATCGCTCGGACGTCCATTCCCCGTGTTTTTTTTTCGGTTTCGTGCGTGATTTTGTTCGCCAGCTGATCAAGGACGCTCCTCGATGGTCCTCGCCGAAGGAAAGATGCACACATCCGAGCGATGCCAAGGGACGAGGAGAGGGACGGGGAAGGCAGACGTTCTTGCACTAGGCGTTTCGACATCAGACGCAGGGGGGGGAGGGGGTGGGCGGTCTGGCTCTGGACCTCTGCCTCGTGCGGCCGTTTGCAGCAGGGCGTCCTCTGGGGGAGGCTCCACCTGCCCGAGACAGGCGCCCAAAAACAGCCAAGATCTACTCCATGGGGGGAGAGGGGGGGGGAAGGGGGGGGAGGGCCCCGCGCCGATCGGCAAACAATTACTAAAAAACGATCACGAGGGGAGGGATGGAATCTCTGCCACACTGTGCAATTGGAAAGGCGATTGCTTTGCACTGACCTCGCTCGACGATGGGGCCACGCAGAGGTGCTAAGAGCACCCGTGCGCACGCCTGAGCCTCGAGCATCAGAGGCTTGAGCCAGAATGGCTACGAAGACGGGGGGGAGCAGGAGACGGGGGGGAGGAGAGAGGGGGGAGGGGGGGAGGGGGAAGAGGGGGGGAGGGGGAGGAAGGGGGGTCAGGTGGAAAACAAGTGGAGGCGTTTAGGGGATGAGTCTCCGATCCGAGCCACGGCTAGGAAACGAAAGCCAATGTTATCCCTGCGATGGGGTTGCAGGGCCTGGGACCATCCGAAGCCTGCCTGGGCGCACTGCTGGGGCTTGAAAGAGCGATGCCGAACAGATGGCCCGCTGAGATAGGGCAGATCGCATTGCCTGAGAACGCTTGGGGCGCAGGGTGTCACGAGCTGCCAAAGTCGCGCGCCGCGCACTCCTAGGCCGATCTTCCCCGCTTCACCGAGAACCGTGGCTTGAAGCATCCACCCCCCGCCCCCTCAAACCCACCCCTCCCTCCCTCCCTGATCACGGGGCCGCGAGAAGACCATCTCTGACTTCAGAGGCGACGGGTCAACGAAAGAGGGGGGGGTCGAAGGGAGGCAGGCGGGGGAACAAGGGGGGGGGAAGGCGGCGAAAGCAACGAGGGGCGGGGGCAACCGCCCTGACCTTCCAGGGAGCTATTTTTTCGCACGGGAGGCCCAAAAACCTGAAAAACGAAACGAAACAGCCTAAAACCAAGACACAAAACAGCTCTGGGATAGGTTTTTACGTCGCGTTCTACTCGTTAGCCCTCCTGGAAGGTTATGGCGCGCGCCCACCCCCCCCCGCCGCAAGAACTGGCCATCGCTCGGACGTCCATTCCCTGAGTTTGTTTGGTTTCGTGCGTGGTATTTTCGCCAAATGATCAAGGATGCTCCTCGATGGTCCTCGCAAAGAAAATTATGCTAACGGAGTTCCCCACATAAAGATGTTACGGGGTTCCATTGCTTCTTGTCTGCGCTCTGGTGGGGCCTCCCTGGAGGGGTGGGAGGGGCACGAAACCAGATAATAATATGGTGTGCGAATACCCTGCTCGCTCAAGCGGGGCCTCCCTGGAGGGGTGGGATGGGCACGAAACCTGATGAATAATATGGTGTACGGATACCCTGCCCGCTCTGGTGGGGCCTCCCTGGAGGGGTGGGAGGGGCACGACACCTGATAAATAACATGGTGTGCGAATACCCTGCCCGCTCTGGTGGGGCCTCCCTGAAGGGGCGGGAACGGCACGAAACCTAATAATAAGATATGGCGTGCGAATACCCTGCCCGCTCTGGCGGGGCCTCCCTGGAGTGGCGGGAGGGGCACGAAACCTGATAAATAATATGGTGTGCGAATGCCCTGCCCGCTCTGGTGGGGCCTCCCTGGAGGGGTGGGAGGGGCATGAAACCTGATAAATCATATGGTGTGCGAATACCCTGCCCGCTCTGGCGGGGCCTCCCTGGAATGTTGGGAGGGGCGCGAAACCTGATAAATAACATGGTGTGCGGATACCCTGCCCGCTCTGGTGGGGCCTCCCTGGAGGGGTGGAGGGGCACGAAACCTGATAAATAATATGGTGTGCGAATACCCTGCCCGCTCTGGTGGGGCCTCCCTGGAGGGGTGGGAGGGGCACGAAACCTGATAAATAACATGGTGTGCGAATACCTTGCTTGCTCAGGCTGGGCCTCCCTGGAGGGGTGGGAGAGGCACGAAACCTTATAAATAACATGGTGTGCGAATACCCTGCTCAGGCTGGAGGGGTGGGAGGGGCAGGCCTGATAAATAACATGGTGTGCGAATACCCTCCGCTGGCGGGGCCTCCCTGGAGGGGTGGGAGGGGCACGAAACCTGATAAATAGCATGGTGTGCGAATACCCTGCTCGCTCAGGCGGGGCCTCCCTGGAGGGATGGGTGGGGCAGGAAACCTGATAAATATCATGGTGTGCGAATACCCTGCTCGCTCAGGCGGGGCCTCCCTGGAGGGGTGGGAGGGGCACGAAACCTGATAAATAACATGGTGTGCGAATACCCTGCTCGCTCAGGCGGGGCCTCCCTGGAGAGGTGGGAGGGGCACGAAACCTGATAAATAACATGGTGTGCGAATACCCTGCTCGCTCAGGCGGGCCCCCCCTGGAGGGGTGGGAGGGGCACGAAACCTGATAAATAACATGGTGTGCGAATACCCTGCTCGCTCAGGCGGGGCCCCTCTGGAGGGGTGGGAGGGGCACGAAACCAGATAAATAACATGGTGTGCGAATACCCTGTCAGCTCAGGCGGGTCCTCCCTGGAGGGGTGGGAGGGGCACGAAACCTGATAAATAACATGGTGTGCGAATACCCTGCCCGCTCTGGCGGGGCCTCCCTGGAGGGGTGGGAGGGGCACGGAACCTGATAAATAATATGGTGTGCGAATACCCTGCTCGCTCAGGCGGGGCCTCCCTGGAGGGGTGGGAGGGGCACGAAACCAGATAAATAGCATGGTGTGCGAATACCCTGCTCGCTCAGGCGGGGCCTCCCTGGAGGGGTGGGAGGGGCACGAAACCTGATAAATAACATGGTGTGCGAATACCCTGCTTGCTCAGGCGGGCCTCCCTGGAGGGGTGGGACACGAAACCTGATAAATAACATGGTGTGCGAATACCCTGCTCGCTCAGGCGGGGCCTCCCTGGAGGGGTGGGAGGGCACGAACCTCAATAACATGGTGTGCGAACCCTTCCCGCTCTGGTGGGGCCTCCCTGGAGGGGTGGGAGGGGCACGAAACCTGATAAATAATATGGTGTGCGAATACCCTGCTCGCTCAGGCGGGGCCTCCCTGGAGGGGTGGGAGGGGCACGAAACCTGATAATAACATGGTGTGCGAATACCCTGCGCTCAGGCGGGGCCTCCCTGGAGGGGTGGGAGGGGCACGAAACCTGATAAATAACATGGTGTGCGAATACCCTGCTCCTCAAGCCCTCCGCTTGTCTAACATGGGTGCGAATACATGGTGTGCGAATACCCTGCCCGCTCAGGCTCCCTGGAGGGGTGGGAGGGGCACGAAACCTGATAAATAACATGGTGTGCGAATACCCTGCTCGCTCAGGCGGGGCCTCCCTGGAGGGTGGGAGGGGCACGAAACCTGATAAATAACATGGTGTGCGAATACCCTGCTCGCTCAGGCGGGGCCCCCCTGGAGGGGTGGGAGGGGCACGAAACCTGATAAATAACATGGTGTGCGAATACCCTGCTCGCTCAGGCGGGGCCTCCCTGGAGGGGTGGGAGGGGCACGAAACCTGATAAATAACATGGTGTGCGAATACCCTGCTCGCTCAGGCGGGGCCTCCCTGGAGGGGTGGGAGGGGCACGAAACCTGATAAATAACATGGTGTGCGAATACCCTGCTCGCTCAGGCGGGGCCTCCCTGGAGGGGTGGGAGGGGCACGAAACCTGATAAAGAACATGGTGTGAGGAAAGGCATGGTATGGTATGGGATGGTGGATGCATGGTATGATATGGTAGGGTATTGGTAAGGTATGGTATGGAGTGGCATGGTATTGGTATGGTAGGATACAGTATGGGATGGTGGAGGAAGCGGGAGGAAGAGGAGGAGGAGGAGGAGGAGGAGGAGGAGGAGGAGGAGGAGGAGGAGGAGGAGGAGGAGGAGGAGGAGGAGAGGATGTTCTGGGAAAACAAAAACCCCACTCAGGATGTGGGGAAAAAACACGTCCGAGCGATGCCAGGAGAACCGGGGGGGCGCCTCGGCCGACGCCCCCCCCAACCTGCGGCCGGGAGCTCCTGTGCGCCACGGCGGCCCTCGACGCGTCCTCCTCCTCCTCCTCCTCCTCCTCCTCCTCCTCCTCTTCCTCCTCTCCTCCTCCTCCTCCTCCTCCTCCTCCTCCGCCTCCTCCTCCTCTGTTTCTGTTTCCCATTGTGGCCATGGTCAGGCTGAATTGTCTGGGCGACGCTCCGGGCCCTTCCGAATTTTGCCCAGTCTCTCGATCCAGCTGCTCACCTCTGCTGTGGTGACTCCAAACCGAGCCGAGAG